CCGCCGCCATGCAACCCGCTCTGCACCTCCAGCGTCGCGAGGATGATTGCAACGGCAGCCCTGCCGAGACGTCCAACATGGGCCTCCGCATTGCCTCTGTCTTCATCCTCCTCGTCGCATCCCTGCTCGGCGCCCTGATCCCCATTGTCATCCACCGCAGCTCCCACGTCAAGGCCCCGCCCGTCCTCTTCTTCGCCCTCAAGTTCATCGGTACCGGCGTCATCATCGCCACCGCCTGGATGCATCTTCTGGCCCCTGCCGCTGAGCAGCTCGGCGACCCCTGTCTCGTCGACCGTCTTGGCGAGTACGACTGGGCCTTCTTCATCGGCCTCATGACCGTCCTCACCATGTTCCTCGCTGAGCTGCTCGCCACGCACTTTGGCAAGTGCTACGTGACCGAGGCCGAATCTGCGGCGCTTGAGTCGGCCGTCGTCGCCGCATCGTCGCCGAAGGGAGAGGGACCCTACTCCGACGACGGCGACGCCTCCGACCCCACCGTGCCCCGCGGCAGCCTCGCTCTGCACGGCGACCGCGAGGCCGACGCTCACCTCGCTAACCACGACCGCGACCACCCGGCCCTCGCCGGCCAGCTGACGGCCATCCTGATCCTCGAGTTTGGTGTCATCTTCCACAGCATCTTCATCGGCCTCGTCCTTGCCACGACCGACGACCTCGTCATCCTCCTCATCGTCCTCGTCTTCCACCAGTTCATGGAGGGTCTCGGTCTCGGCTCCCGCCTCGCCATCGCCAGCTGGCCTGGCGGCCGCTGGTGGCTGCCGTATTTCCTCGCCGGCTGCTACGGTCTCGCCACGCCTATTGGCATCGCCGCCGGCCTCGGTGCCAAGCCCACAAACGCCGCCGATCAGACCCTGACGAACGGCATCTTTGACGCTATCAGCGCCGGTATTCTCATGTACACCGGTCTCGTCGAGTTGCTGGCGCACGAGTTTATGCTGAACCCGCAGATGAGGAGATCGGGACTCGGGAAGCAGCTGGGTGCCTTTGTGTGCATTATTTTCGGTGCCGGTATCATGGCGCTGCTGGCCAAGTGGGCTTAGATTCGAAGCGTCTCAGGGGAAGCGGGGGGGGGGGGGAAGTCGGGAATAGAATGTCAGGGTTAGTGAAGGGTATGAGTAGATTACATACTTAATAAGCGGTTCGAAGAAGCGATTCTGACACTTTTTCTCACGGAAACCTGTGGTATACAATGGATTGTTTTCATCAGAGTCGACCAGACCCTTGAAATAGTTGAGCATACGGTCCAGCCAGATGAGATGAAACGGCACCAGGCTCTCATGATGACCACCATCGCACATGGAGGAGTGAGATGCTGCCCCCACCCAAGACAAGCCACACCAACGGCCCACTTAAACGAAAGGTACAGCCTGGTCCGTGCATGTTCCCTGTGCGCCCCGCCCGAAAGAGACCCCAAAATCACGTGCCCTTTCCACACTAGAGGGCAAACCCTACCCTCCCGCCAAGACTTCGCAAGTGGCACGAAAAATCCAACGACTGCTCGACCGCCTGATCGCCGTCTCTTCACATCGCCAGACGACCTCACTAACCCACCACCAAACCACCCCTCACCCCCCCGACAATACCTTCAAAATGGCCGGCGGCGTTACCGTTCGCGATGTCGATGTAGGTCAACACCCTTCCGATTGAAGACTTTCCGCCAGGAAATAGCTTCGACCACTCCACCAAACCGAACCGAGTTGCCGCCCGACGATATTCAAAACCAAGACAATATCCCGACTACGATCGCGACCCGCACTCCAACCCGATACCAACATGGGACTCGAACACACATTCTTTCCCTAGATGGGCTGGCGGGCGCAGGGCGCGCATCGCGGGATATCGAACGGCGTGCAACGAGGATACGGAATGGAACACTATACAGGAATCGAGCAGGCGCGAGGGGGTCGCAAGACCTCTGACGACGGAATCATTGCTAATTGGTGTTCCTTTCTCCCGAACAGGCGCAGAAGTTCATCACTGCCTACGCGGCTTTCCTGAAGCGTCAGGGCAAGCTCCCCATTCCCGGTACGTATTCACTTTCAGACCTTGGTCTCATCAAGGAGAGGGGTGGCATTGGACTAACGAAACGACTGCAGGCTGGGTCGACATCGTCAAGACCGGTCCCGCCAAGGAGCTCCCTCCCCAGGACATTGACTGGTTCTACGTCCGCGCTGCCGCCGTCGCCCGCCACGTCTACCTCCGCAAGACCGTCGGTGTCGGCCGTCTCCGCAAGCTCCACGGCTCTGCCAAGAACCGTGGTGTCCGTCCCTCCCACCACTTCGACGCCTCCGGCTCCGTCGACCGCAAGGTCCTCCAGGCCCTTGAGAAGATCGGCGTCGTTGAGCACGACGAGGAGAAGGGCGGCCGCCGCGTCACCCAGTCCGGCCAGCGTGATCTTGACCGTACGTCGCTTCCCCACGCCAGACCTAAAAGGCCTTTTTTTTTCTTGAGTACATGTGCTAATGAGACCAACAGGTATCGCCCAGACCACCGCTGAGGCTGACGAGGAGGACGAGGAGGATGACGAGTAAATACCCCCATGACCTGCGCAAAAGCTCGGTTTCGGTTCGGTTTTCATGGCAACGGTGGCATTGGCTTAGGCGTTGAAAAGGATTCACTTCATTGAGGAATTTTGCACCCCAATACAACGTCCCGTATGCTCGTCGCTCGCTTGACCTGATGTTCGTCGTGTGCCTGCCGTAGTGATTGCGCCGCTTCTCGGCGTGGCATGCATGCCGTGGGTGTAAGCCTCCAGGCGTTGGGCGACGTCGTTTTCCTGATGGAGCTTCGACTGACGCAACTAGAGGTGGATGCCATTGGACCCGAAGGCATCCATTCAGCATCTGTTGATTCCTTCACCACGCGGCTTCCGGCGCCTGCCTCGTAACTAGCACTTTCCCTCATAACTTGCAAGTCTGCCTATAGAAGCGCAAACCTGAGCCGGCGATATCTCCGTAACCTCTTATAGCAATGGCAGGAACAACAACAGCAACAGAGAGTTCTAACCGCAATATCTGGCGACTTCCCAGTGCTCAATCCGCCCACCTTTCTGTATCCTGCATCTACGCTACGTTACATATCCCTTCATTACTCACCAAGACTTCCCTTTAACCTCAGAGTCTATCGCCACCTTCAAGCCTTGAATTTGCACTCTATGGGGTGCTTCTGGGGGCAACACGACTCTGTGGTTGTCAAGTCATCGCGAACCTGCCCATCATGTCAGAAACAAGCAGAGTATGTTCATTGCAGCGTTGACTCAACTCATCTTGATGGTGCTTACTCGCCATTCAGAGTATGCCAGAAAGCAGTCAGTTCTTCGAATCACCCTCCCCCTCAACACGAGTCATGAGCGTTCACCACAAGCGCTCAGACGACTTCTCGCTGCAAAAAGGAGTCTACTTCCTCAAGGTTCGGGTCGGGCCCGGAAAGTACATGTGCAAGATCCTGGAAGAGCGTTCAACGGTTGAGATTGCGGACCCAACAGCGGACACAGCGGTTGTCTTCCAAAACGTCACTATTGGCATCTTGTCTGTGATTCTCAATGGGCAGGTGCACGTTCTTCAGTGCGCCACAAGCAGCAATAGACTGGTCCCTGGCAATGACACCGATAAAAGAAACATACTCTACAAGCCCATATGGGTCAAACGAGTCAAGAACATGGCCACAGTTTTGGACTTGAATATCGGAGCTCCCTATGATGCCCACGGACAGAAAAATGCTGGCCCCGAGTGTCACGGAAACTGGCACGCCTCGCACGTGGAGAAGAAATTGGCCGTGCTGGCCGTTCACATGGCTCGCGAGTTCCTAGGGCTCAACTGGAAAAATCAGCTGGATGCCGGCGACTTGCTTGAGCTCAAAGAGGCCGTCCGCGCCAACGGTGGGCTTTCGTGCTACCACATTCAGCTGCAGCGTGCCGCGTGCGCGCTCTGCGTGCAGTTTGTGGGACGGGTGAGCTTCGCAAGCGGCCTCAAGATGACCATTCACGCCCGGCCAGGTCTCAAGACGGAACCGGATCCGACGTTCAGGATGCTCGCGACACGGGATGCTGCAGAGCAAGCAGCACCCGGAAACGCCGCGTCTCGAGTCCGCGATGGCCCACGAAGTCTGGAGTGGAGGAAGGTTGACCAAGATTTCAAAAAATATCTTTACAGCAAACAGGAGCCCTCGCAGACGATCACTGCCGAGCAGCCGCCGACTCTGGTGCATGTTGAAAGCGACGCCGACATCTACGACGCAACTCCTTCCCCTCCTTCCAAAAAGTCCGTGCAGAGCTTCTTGGATACCGTTCAACCATTTGCCAAATCCCCAATGGACACGATGGCAGTCACCGAGGTGGAGCCTCTCTTTCGAAAGAATGTTCGTGGTCCTCTGGGGATTGACATCACCAAGACCAAGGAGCAAGCCAAGCGCCGGGGCCAACCGCTGGATCCTCGACATGTTGTCAAACCGCTGCCCGCGACGCCAGTGCTTGACCCGCCTTCGATGTTCTTGCCAAGTCAAGCTCGGACTTTACCGTCGATGTCCTCAGATCAAGGTCCAACAACCTGTCCTGGAGAAGATCATGATGGTACGTCGGGTTCACTTCCTTTCTCTTTTTGGGGTGATCTGACGAAAATGAGCAGTCTTGGCCAACCGCCTTTCGAACAGTCGTCGTGACATGGAACATCTGAGAGCCCGGCTTCGCTACAGAAGACTGCTTCGGGCTTCACGTGTACAGTCAAGACATCGCTCTCACCAGGCGAACGGTCACCGCACGTCAGCCTTTTAAGGTGTCTCGGCAGTTCCCACTTACCCGCAAGGACCGTCTGGGCGCAAAGGCTTATTGTATGTTCGAGATTGACTTTTGTTTCTGGCGTCAGCAGGGGTTCTAGTAATCGTACGAAAGGCGTCCGCACTTGTGGCCTCATCGGCCGAGTATGGACGAGGGAGCTCCGCGTGGAGGCGTGGAGAGAATTCTGCCGTGCCAGGCAATGACTTGCCGACCAAGGGTTGAGCTTTCAAGGGCCACTTGCGTTGGAGCAAGCTTGGTATGAGTCGCCAGTTTGACGCATCTTGGGGCATGTTTGAGGATGACCAGGAGCAAGAATACAGAGAGGCCGATTGCTACCCTTACCCTTGCGCTCTTGTGAATGCCAAGCCATCACGGCCCGACTTCGCTCCACGCCCAGATGCGCCAGACACTTTGGCAGAGTTTCGTCAGTTGCTCGTTGAAAGCCTTGCCAAGCACGCTACATGTGGGCTGAAGTAACCAAGACAGGAAAGTCGAGAGATTGCCTGTAATACTGTTTGAGCAGCTGGGCATACCACGGCCCTGGGATTGTAGAAGACGTGCCCCAGCAGTCATGAGGTTGCCAGTTGGAGAAGCCAGCGTTGCACTGCATCAGATTTCCCTTGCTACATGGGTATAATTAGCATCGCATTATGCCGATCTACCGTGCTCTTCTTGTGTGTTGCACCGAACTCTTTCATCATCCACTTGGCAAGGCGGCGTCTCCGTACAGCAATTCTGACGTCTCGCATTCTCCATGTCATCAAGGTATGAACTAACTTCGTACTCAATCGCACCCTCTCCGCACCCTCACATGCAAGGGCGGGGCCGAGATCGCACAGCGTGGGCGGCGACGCTGCAGCGTACCTTTACCCCTGAATTGGAGACAGGGTTAGCCTGTCAACAACTTTGACCGCAACACGACAACTCACCCACATTGCCACGGGACAAGCGTCAATTCGGATCACCAAATGGGCCAAGCGTAGGGCTACCGGCGCGCCCAGACAGGACGAACAAGATGACGGACGGAGTACGGGGACGCATGACACCCCCATCTTAGCGAGTCAGTCCCCAGAAGACATCTCCGGATATACCTTTCTGTCAACCTGGATCGTGACGCCAATCGCAGCGTGAGACATTCAGCAAGTCAGTCTCAAGTCAATGCGCTTTCCTGATCGATCCCGGCGATGGGTCCTCAATGGGCTTGGTCAGCCCAAAACAGGTTGCACTGTTGCGATGCCTACAGCACTGCCCATCTGCCGGGTTCGTTCGAGCTGCCGCGAGTCAAGTTGAAACCCTTGCCTGTTAAATACCCATGCTTCATGGTCACAAAAACCCTTCAACGCCGGACCGGGTAGCAGAGCGTTAGATTGATCAAGGGCATCAAACCCGCAAGGTCCCTGTCACTCGAACGCCGTGCTTCGCGGAGCGCCGGCCAGCCCTTGCACCCCGCGAGAAAATAGAGACCCACGATCCAGAGTCTCGGCCACTATAACTGCGCGACTGTCCCTCAGCGGCTGTGCGCGCCTCCCAGGACCATGGAATTGGGCACCGTATCGGTGGTAGCGACCTTTGCTGTCATGTCACGATGGCCGCCAACTTTGACAAAGTGATCGCGTCCGCCACGCTGGCGGGCAGCCTCCTCTCTTGCGTCGCGACGACATGCGTGCTGACTTCGTTTGCCATCTACCGTCACCAGATGCGCAGTTTTCGCCATGCTCTCGTCTTGAACCTTTCGGTAGCGGGTACGTGTCACCATTCTTGCCAGCTCTGGGCGCCCATGGCGGTAGCCCCATCTCTCACCTCACCTCACTGACTGCGGCGTACAGAGTTCATCAACTCGCTCAACAATACGGTTTCAGGCTTTATATACATGCGCACGAGGGGCCTCCAGCCCGGCGCAGCCTGCACCGTCAACGGCTTCGTGGGCCAGCTCTCGGTGCAGGCCGCCGACTTTTCCATCCTCGCCATCGCGCTCGTCACGCTCCTCACCGTCACGGGGACAGTGTACATGCCCAAGGCGTCGCTCGCGCGCAAGGCCACCATCTGCGGCGCCGTCTGGGTGGTTCCCGTGGCGACGAGCGTCACGGCGACGGCCATGGGCCAGATGGCCCCCGTTGGAGGCAACTGGTGCTGGATCTCGGCGGCGAGGCCGGACCTGCGGTACGCGCTGACGCACGGGTGGCGGTTTGCCGTCATCTTCTCGACCATGGCCATCTACGTGTACATATGGGTATTTCTACGGCGTCACTTCCGGTTCCTGCGCGGGGCGCAGCGCTGGTCGTACGGGACGACGTCGTCTGGCGACGGGAGCTTCTCGTCGGGCCGCGCGAGGAGGGGAACCCGGCGTCTCTGACGCGAGCACGCACAGCGATGACGATATGAAACTGGACAACCTGATGCGCGTTGAAGCCGCTGGTGCCGGAACAACGACGAAACCCGCAGGGCTGAGCATCAGCGTGCACGAGGTGAAGATGGACGCCGCCGCCGTTGAGGCCAAGGGTGGTATGATGGACTTTGACGACGACGACGATGATGACGACGCCACGACGCTGGACGAGATGATCCACGGCACACCCGGCAAAACGCTCCGACAGCAAAAATCATTCCAGGAAGACCTCGAGAGAATCACGCCCAAGTCGTCGTACCCCGGCGACAACCACGTCTCGATTCCCAGACCGAGCGCCAGTGCCAGCGGCAGCGTTCGCAGGGCCCCGAACGTGCCGGCGAACAGGACGATGCGCAGCACGCTGAGCGAGTTCCCCATCAGGCAAGACTCGCATCAGGTGGAACGGGAGATCAAGAAGATGATGTTCCTCAACGCGTACCCGATCATGTACGTGCTGCTCTGGATCCCCGGTCTCGTGAACCGGCTGCTGCAGGCGTCGGGGAACGCGCCGGGGCCGAGGACGATGGCGGCGTTGCAGGTGTCGACGCAGTTTGTGGGCTTGGCGAACGCGCTCACCTACGGCTTCAACCATCACTTGAGGGACAGGTTGAAGGGGATCTATTTCACAGGCATAGCTTCGAGGATCAGGGCGAGGTGGAGACGGTAACAGTCCACGGTGGTGGCGAATGGAAAGCATTTGTTCAAGAAGAATGGTGACCCTGCTGTGACAGATGATGGAATCTCGACCGCGATATCGCGCGTTTGATGAATGGCATGCGGTAAGGTTGAGGCTCACAGGATGGCTCGGCATGTCGTTGGCTTGGAGTGGATGCTCACCTGGAGCCCCAGCGAGGGCTCCAGGCCCCCGTGCAGTGGATTTCTACCTGTAGCTTCCGTGGACGCCATGTCTCTCGGCGGGTTCTGGGAAGGTGCCAAGGGTGCCTCGAGATGGCACCTTCTGCAGCTCCAGAACAGTCACGTGATACCATGCATGACCGAAATGGAAAGACCACCTGGTGCCAAAAATAGCAACACCGCTAAGCGCCGCCAAGTGCAGGTCGAAGTGCAAGGGCAAGAGCAGCAGAAAGGAGTATGCAAGAGCTGGCTGTGCCAGTGATGGGCAGCTGCCCTCTCCTCAACTGGTAGGCACCTCCGCTCTTTGCCTGCTGCTCTCCATCACCGACCTCACCTTCGCCGCCATCATCGGTGTCAGTCGACT